AAATCGATACTCGGATGTATCGAAAGTATTGTTGACGCTTTTCCGCGACGCTGATTGGTTATCTTGATTATTCTGGCAGTTTGATAGTTTGAAAGCAAAGGTTATTCTGGCGGTTAGTTAAAATTAAAAAAATTTTTTTTAAATATTTAGATTTTATAATTATTAAATTATTACAATAAGTGCGCGCGCGTAGCGCGCGCTTGTATTGTTCTAGTACAGCTAAAAAACGCATGAGCAAATTAAAGCAGTCTCGTATTACTGACTTTGTTAAGCCAATAACGCATGTTTGCAACAAAGAATAATGCGCATTCGTCAATTGACTTTTACATTTTATATTTTTATCTAATAATAAAGTTATGTTTTCAAATACATAAAAAAACATACATACATAAAAGTTAAAACAGCCTTTGTATGTATCTATTTTCCGTATTATCCGAGATTTCGGTTATCCGAGGTATGCTCCTTCCACATTACCTTGGATAATCGAGGTTCTACTGTATTCTTTTTTCCTGGATAAATAATTATGTTTAAAGACAAAATCGATAAACTAAAATCACTGAAAAACTGAAATATTTCATAAATGAAAGCAGATAGATAGGCAAACGTAGGTCTCGTTCGAAAGGTCTTGAAAAGCCCTATAGAATGAGAAAGAACTGTTTCCGACTTAAATCACGTTCGACGGACGTATCTTTTGGACTACAGTTGATAATTAACCGATTACCACTATCACTTACTGGTTATCAATTATAATATAATAGCAAAGTTTCAATACACGCGTAAAAGATAAACTTTGTAAAAGAAAAACAGACTTACCTTCCATCTTTACGAGCTGTACACCGTCAAATATAGTTATCCAAAGAATGCAAAACAGGAGACAAGAGGAAACACTGGACATTTCGTCGAATCAAACTGTCTCACGGCACTGAGACTGTTGAGGATCTTCGTAAAACAGGATTATAACGGATGTTTTGCGTTAACTTGTTTATTTCCATTCCGTTGCGTCTCCGATGGAAGAAAATGCGAATGTCACTCTTCTTGCTTCGCCAGCAAAGTGCGAGAAAATGGCAACCGTGTTTCGCAGCGCGATTTAGTCGTGTTCCTGTTAGAAGTAGTAAAAAGAATTATTAAAGTGACAAAGGTGCTGGAAGTAACATCTCAAATTCGCGTAGCTATCGTCGTCATCGTTAAAAGAATTTGTTCAAAAAGCATTTGACATATCAAACGGAAGTTCCTTGACTTGTTTTTATAAGTATATATTGAAAATTGAATTTAAACATTTTGCGATACTTAAAACATGTTACGTTGTATATTAATCACTAAAAATTTCAGAACTCCAACTATGTATCGCAATATATTAGTGTTGTGTGCATTTTGCATTTTAAAAGTGGCATCCGAAGATTAGTCATCTTTATATCTGGATGAAATTCGCAGCTTAAGCGAATTACCAATGGACAAACTCATTCAAATTAAATCTTCTCTTGCAAGCGAAAATGGTAAATCATTGTAAATCTTTTATTATATATAATACTCTTTATTTGGTCCTCTTATGGGGTTCCAAGAACTTTCGTCAGTTTCGCAATATTGCTAATGTACATTTATGTTTACTAATACTTTACTATTTATCACGCGAGCACACATAAATCTAACTTAATATACATTTTTTATTTCTATCCTTAATCTACAAAAATAATTACAAACAAATTCTAAAATCGCATCTTGCGTGAAGCGACTTTACCGAACACTTCTAAAGAATGCATCACTTTAGAGACTGCTTCACTTTGCAGAATGCTTCAATATCTGAAAAAGATTCACGTTGTATTGTGTCGCAAATTCACGCATTATTTCATATTTACTTAACTCTTTTTAGTGTTGGGAAACTAAACCGAAAGAAAATAGTGACTTTGTATCGAGCTTTCTTAAAATTATGCTCGCAACTTCTGGTGGTAGTTGAGAAATAGTCCACTTTTTGCCCATTAAAATCACCATCAATGGATTCCACAAGTGTATTAATCTCTGCCATCGTTTATACAAGAAGAGTAATGCTCTTTACTGTGCAGTAGCGATGTCACTTCTGGCATGACTGCTGCATTACCGCATTATATATAGTAAATGTCCCACCATGTTTTATGGAAAAACCTATTAAAATTAGTGATAGGGGGAACAAGAACAAATAAAATGTTATAAAAGAATAGGAAGAGAGGGGAATGAAAAGAATGAAAAGGGGAAGAGAAGCGAGAAGAAAGTTGGAAATACATTTTGTTTCATTATTATACATTATGTATCGTTATACTTATTATCTCAGAGTTGTCTAAATTTTATTTCAAATAAATATAAAAATTTAAAAACTGAGAGAATATGTATAACGATATATACATAATGTATAATAATAGTTGGAATAAAATATATTTCCAACTTTTTTCCCTTTTCTCCTCAACTTTTCATTCTTCCCTCTCCTCTCCTCTTCTTTTATAACATTTTATTTGTAGAACATTTGTAGAATCCATCGATGACGATGATAATGTGCCAAAAGTGGACTACATTTCTCAACCATTACCAGAAGTTGCGAGCATGATTTTGAGAAAGCTCGATACAAAGTCACTACTTTCTTTCAGTTTGGTTTTCCAACACTGAAAAGGATTAGGTGAATATGAAATGACGCGTCGATTTGCGGCAGAATACAACGTGAATCTTTTTCAGATATTGAAGCATTCTGCAAAGTGAAGCAGTCTCCAAAAGTGATGCATTCTCCAGAAGTATTCGGCAAAATTTTCGCTTTAGGCAAGATGCGATTTTAGAATTTGTTTGTAATTATTTTTGTCCCACAGCACTGAGACCGCTGAGGATCTTCGTAAAACAGGATCATAACGGATATTTCGCGTTAACTATGCGTTTATTTCCATTCCGTTGCATCTTCGACGGAAGAAAATGCGAATGTCATTCTTCTTGCTTCGCCAGCAAAGCGCGAGAAAATGGCAACCGTGTTTCGCAGCGCGATTTAGTCGTGTTTCTGTTAGAAGTAGTAAAAAGAATTATTAAAGTGACAAAAGTGCTGGAAGTAACATCTCAAATTCGCGTAACTATTGTCGTCATCGTTAAAAGAATCTGTTTAAAAGGCATTTGACATATCACACAGAAGTTCCTTGACTTATTCTTATAAGTATATATTGAAAATTGGGCGCAGCTCTTTCTGCCACTCCGATAGTTACGCCATTGGCAAGGAGATTGTCGTATTTCAACTACTTCCTTTTTTTAATATACTTTTTTAATAAATAACAAAAATCTTACTTCTTCTATCGAAGTAGAAAGAATATTAAAGTTAATAGTGACTATTTTAATTAATAAAAATTAATTATAAAAATTGAGCAATACGTACTTTGTTTTTAATTCTCAGTATTTGACAAAAACGATAAACCTTATGTATCAACCTAATAATGCTAAAAAAACTATGCTACTCGCGAATCACGCCAATTTGACGAATTTTCTTAGTATTTATTATAACGCAGCAGGGCTAATACGCGGAGCTGTATTAGCGGGCGACAGAGGACCTCCAAATCAAAATCAGAAGTCGAGAGAGAATTTCTCATTACTCTGTTTTATCTATCCGCATTCTCGTTGGCAACTACGTATGTTTGCGCAACTTGCGATTCGATACCGCCATTAGTATCAGATCTTTCGCAAGCCGCTCGCAGTGCTTCTTGATGTATAATGATTTCATTAGTGATGTATGCTTCGCGACGTATCCTGTCGCATAGTTTAGAACTAATGTCAGGAATGCACCATCAATGCACGAAGATCATCACAAGTGTCACAAAATTCTGTAAAATATGCAAATAAATTTATTTTTCATAATTATTATGAGAATTGTATATAACTCAACGTCAGTAAAAATAAATTAATGATGTGAATTAAAATTAGAGATGTGAATTAAAATCAATGTAAAATGTAGATTAATATAGACATTTAAATAGAAGCAAAAAAAACGTACCTCAAATACGACGATTAAAGCTAATCCAACTGTTAGTACATGCCAGAACATGATGGTGTAATCATACTTGTAAGGCGATTCGGGTGGTTCTCTGTAATCCGGATAACGACAAATCTTGACAAACCGAGATTGACTGATTTATTATCGGCTGAGGACCATTTTTCAAATCACTAGTATTGAATTTTGATAGAGAATGGTTCAACAAACCTTCAAGCAAGTAATTATCAGAAATTGTCATACAATAAACTAGTTTCGGTATAAAGTTTGAAGTAAAAGCTATGATGAATGCCTGAAAAACGAAATCAAAAGTATCCTTAATAAAATTAACATAATTATATATAAATTTTTTTATGATAGAATTATTTATGTAAAATTTTTACAAATAATGTCTTTTTTTAGTTATAAACGCTTTAATAAATTTATAGCCGATTAACTATACACTTTTTATCGATGCTTTTATCGATAGTTTTTTATCGATAGTTATAAGTGTCAAACTTACATTGGTAATAACGGATAATTTAGAAATGGAATCGAGTATGCGGTAGCATATGTCTATGTTTCTGATTCGCTGACCAAACGGTCGCCTGTACATGGTCACCAACTTCTTTGCATCCAATCTCATCTTGAAAATGTTGTTCAGTAACGCGAAGAATGGTGCCAATGGGAAAGCAGCCACGAAGATCATGTCAAATCCGTTTTGTAGCACTACAGAAGAATAAATTATAATTTTTAAAACAAAATGTTTAGCCAAATCTTATTATATGCTTGCACAATATTATATGTTGTTTTGTTTGGCTGTTATTTTATATTGATATAAAATGTAATATATATATATATATATTACTTTATGCAGCCTTACCCACATTTCTAAGTATTTGGGAAAAAAACTTCTGGGTCCCCATGGTTTTTGATTTTTGTGTTCCTCTTCCTATTTAGAGATTAATTCATGCTTTACGTTTATGTGCACAGAAAAATCATAAATATAATTATAATTACATTCATAGGCGCAGTATTGCGATTTGCATTTTGCTCGAAAAGACGACAGTTTAGTATAATATTTCCACATGTTTTCTTTAACTTCCATAATTTTTAAATTCCAAACGGATTCTGACGAAAGAGCTATGTCACCTATTTTTTGCGCATTTCTTAATTCTTCCAAATGTTTATTTACTATATGTCTATTCAACTGAGTATAGAGATAAATAGATGATTCGATGTTACACTCCATACATTTAATTTCAAAATCACTAATTTTTGTACAATATTTCCATGTCCAATCGTAAAGTACGTAACTCTCCACTTCGTTAAAATGCTTCTGTGTTAAATGATTTGCTGAAGATTGAAAATCGGTTCGAAGATTCTGACGACAGAGAAGACATAGTGAGATAGAAGTATCGTTGTACTTGAAATATATCCATGGCCATTCTTGTCGTCCTTTATATGTTTCTTCGTTTTCATTTATATCAGGATGCTTTTTACTCATATGCTGACCGAATTTTAAACTGATGTAAATAAGTTTTCGTTTGCAAAACCTGCATTTTGCTTGGTAACCCGACACTTTTTCGTAATATTACCACACGTTTTCTTTTGTTACAATAATTTCTGACATTGTGTCCGTTTCTCCTTACAGAACACAGATAACTGAATACGGTACAAGAGGACGAAGAAATACGTTTGGTTTTCGATTTGGATGTAAATATTGACACGTGAGTCAAAATTATTGGTCTATATAGTTGCCCTTCCCCCCCCCCCTCCCTCACTCTCTAACGCAAATCGTAAAAACATTTATATATTCGGATTGTACATCGTTTGTACATGAATGTACTATGATTTTTATCGTTTGTACATTTTTCGTTAATTTAAAAAAAAATGACAAAGTTTTCGTAACTGCGCCAATGATAGTTAGCCTTCCCTATGTCACAATTACATTACATAAATGATAATTTATGAATTTATTGTGCTTAATCGTTTGTATATCGTTTGTACGTTATTAATAATCGATTAAATTTATATTCCAACATTTTGTTTTTGTTTAAAACATAAAATAAATAATTTTTATTTGAATATGGCGGGTACGGAGCACGATTCGGATGCGCATGCATTTTAGTTACTTTCTGTTAGAAAATAGCGGATAAATCTTCAAAGTGCGTTTACATTAGTGTCAATTTTACCAACATCAAGTACATGTACTTTGAATACTATAGTATTACTAATGTAATTATTAATAATACTATAATATTTTTGAAAGCGTAAAGTTGATTAGCCAATTTGTTTACCGTTTAAATTTTACTGCTAACGTTTCTTTAAGCGCTATGGCCCTGAGTATTTACATGAAATACTTGATGTTGGTAAAATTGACACTAATGTAAACGCACTTTGAAGATTTATCTGCTATTTTCTAGCAGGAAGTAACTAAAACGCATACGCACCCTAACCGTGCTCCGTTTTCGCCATATTCAAATAAAAATTATTTATTTTATGTTTTAAACAAAAACAAAATGGTGGAATATAAATTTAATCGATTATTAATAATGTACAAACGATATACAAACGATTAAGCACAATAAATTCATAAATTCTTGTTTACGTAATGTAATTGTTACGATTACAATCCGAATATATAAACGTTTTTACGATTTGCGTTAGGATGGGGAGCAACTATATAGACCTCCATTCGAACATGCTCTTTTTTAATGTATTATAATAAATTCAAGTAGCAAGCTGATCATAAATATGGAACATAAAATGTAGAAGAAATTTAACAGATAATAATAATCTTGTACTCTCGTAATTTGTTAATTGTATATAAAAAAGTATGAAATATAACTTATAATTGTATATTTTTTCAATGTCTATAACAGGAATTGTAATTTATAAAAATCATCTTCTTTGAAAAATTTTTTATTATATACAAAATGATATAAATCTCTTAAATAACTCCGATAATGTTAAAACAAAAATAAAATCTAATACTGATTTGTTTCATTAAATTATTTCGCACAAAAGATTAATAATATGGATTTAATTATTTTTTAATAAGATGATTGAATAATAATTTAAAAATATCTATATAAAAATAACAGACAACTAATTAAATAAGATAGCTATTTAGAAAGAAGTTGTAATAATCTATAATTAATAAATATCCAGGTAGCCAAATGTTAGAAATGGTAGATTGATATGATGATAGATGATATGTTAGAAATGGCAAATAGGTGATATGTTAGAAATGGCAAATTTAATATGAATCGGGTGAAAATAAGGATAGACGTCGCAGTGAAATCGAATAGTAAATCGTTTATTAGTACGAAGGTGTGTGATAGTGTCTCGAGATTGACGGCGATCGACATTTCGCGAATTAGGAAATGTCGCGCCGCGGTCGTGTGATACCGTGACGTGAACGAATGTGACAGAGCTTTCTTGTTCCTTAGCTGACGTAAGAGATAGATGTTAGAGCTAGTTACCCTGTTCTGCGAGCTGGTGCTCCGCTCTTCCGTCGGCGCCTATCATCTCTTAGTCGATCGTCCACGAGGACCATCCACGAGTATCATTCTCGAGGATTCTCCTCGTCGACGATGGACCCCTCGATCCATCGGGACGGTAGGAGCTCGGGACGCTCAATGGTATCGATAACCCAACGTTTGCGTGCCGATACAGATTACGTTACCATAGTACGAGCGAACTTCACCGATAGGGCCTCGCGTTGACCCCCGACTAGTAATTCGAGCTGAATTGGCGAAGATACGTTACGACTAAGTGATGGTTTAATTCACATCAGAATCGGAGAAAAAATGCTTGCGTTCGAATTACAGATTTAGAGTTAGTACAATACGACGAGAATAATTCTCATTTTGTGGCATCACACGCGACTTCCGTTGTGACTAATTCTGAGTTTGATTTTGCTGATATATCAGAAGATCACATTCGATATATTTGTGAAGGTAAAAAATTATTAAGCTTAATTTAGCTTAAAATCCGCGATGAGTACAAGAACAGTAATGTTTTTTTTTAGAATCGTTTAGCGTTGAATAAAAAATAATATACAATTTTGCATATTTTGTCTTAAATTGAAAATTGTCGAAAAAAACCTCTACATGAAATTTAGAGAGAACCGCATAGAGTTCCAGAACGCGCGCCTAGAACGCGAATTGGAGCGTTGATTGTCGTCAACTTTGAGCGTCCCCGGCGCGACAGGAGGACGAAACGCCTGTGCGTGCTAACTTTCAAGAGATGCTACTTGTTTGCCTCCTCTCGAGGTACTCTAGTGCCTATGTTATTGTGTCTTGTTCTGCCTACAGCGCTAAAACTGCCGCTAAGAAATAGCGGTACCGAAGTGGAGCTGCTGAGAAGAAGCAACGGAGGAAAGTGTCCCTCTCCCTCCGCGATCCCTCTCGGAACGCAATAATAAATAATAATAACCTCGCGATTCGTATACGCGTTCGAAAGGTAAGAAAACGTTCTCTATCTCTAACTTTCGTTCGTACGTTCTCCACTTTATTTCTCTTCTCGTTTTCATTCTTTTTAATTCTCTCTCTTTCTCATTCATTCGTTTTCACTCCGCAAAAGCTCACCCCAGCGAGAAGTGACCCATCAAATCGACGTCTAATTGATGTCGAAATCATTGATATTACATCGTAACGATGTCGACTCAACATCAACTTGATAAGTCATTTCTCGCTGGGACTATCCTCGCGTACATAGTACGGAGAATAATGAAAAAAAAATGTTGGAACTAACGAAAGAAGATTCATAAATAAAACGTTTCAGCGCGAACGTGTACTAAGCAATCCATGCATGAGCCCATTACACAAATTTATTTGCAATATTTTAGAAGTTTGGGTGAATTAAATTTTGTAGAAATATATAAGGCAAATTTGTGAATTGATTTTATATAAGTGAATATTGTTTCAAGGAATATATATCATTCGATATATTTAATGTTGAGTATTTCACTTGTACGCAAACAAAGCAAAATCCATGAAAAATTATTTTCTACATTATGTTTGCGCGATAGCTTTAGCATCATGCATGGTCTCTACTTTGCTTACTCGCTTACTACACTCGATATGCAACAATTAATTGTGATCTCCGTAATGAAGATCCGCATTCGAATCGGACCTATATATGTCCGCTTAAATAAGAACAATAATAACTTAGATTTCCGGCGTACGTATCATACAAGCTATGCACAAATAAAAATGAAACAACAGAACGCTTAATTAACATATGGACGCAATACAAAAGCGTGTAAGTCGGTCTGCCTCTCGCCTTCTCGATTCCGATTTCTCTTGTTTGATCTTAGAATCGTCTCACATTCTCGCGATGTACGCGCTTTGATTGAATGCAGTGTTGCTTTTTGATCGTACATGACTCTTGTCGTGCGTTCACACTATACACCTTCATTCTCTTGTCTTCGTTTTCGCGCTCTAGTCATGCTCTCGCGATAAATTTTATTTCATTCAACTTGAACGCTTGTACTTCTTTAGAAAAGTGGACAGCTGCCTTAGTTTACTTGAAGAAATTAAACTAATTAGCCAATCAGAAATTTTACTCTTGATTCGGATTTTTTGCAGTAAGTTTGAATGCAATTTACAAAGTCGCTCCGATACTATTCGTTAACTGTCATCTTAATTCATTGATTAATTAAATGACGCTTCACTGGTAAGCTGTTTGTAGTTTGTTGCGAGAAAGTGGACAATTTGCACAAAAGAAGTAACTTTTATTACTTCAAATTAAATCAGTGCGGAATTACTTGACTACCTCCCGCTTCTTTAACTAGTTTAACTTATCTATAAAAGCTTCTGTAATTTGTTAAGGCAAAATGTTGCAAGAAAGTAATCAGCAATAATGAAACATTAACGCCTTAAATTAAACTGATAAAGATGCGGAAATATTTATGTAATTTAATAAAATATAAAGATAACAAAAGAATCGAAGGACGTTTTGCACGAGAGCTGCACACTACAATATTTAGAATAATTTGAGAGTGGAACATCGATAATTGAGAGCATGACTTTCGAGGGCATCACAATGGCGTAACTTTACTGCTAGTGTTGCGCGAGCAACAAGCCCCTGTTGCGTGTAATGCAAACACGCGCAAATTGATTTTTCCATATAAAAACATAGGCAGTTGTTGCATTGCGTGATTTCGATTTGCGCGAGTTAGTATTAACAGCGTTTTGGGGTTGCATTACAGGGCCGGGCATTTTGATTTAGAAAATCAAAATAGCCAATAACGCCTTTATTTTTCATGATATTTTCAGATATAATCAGCCTTTAAATATTTCTTTATTCCAATCGTTGAATGAATTCCAAATTCATTCAAATCGTTGACAACGCGAAAAATATTACTGATTTCAAATTATGACAAAAATTTTAACAAATCGGCTGATGCAATGTAATTGTTATTATTGGCTATTCTATTTTGAAAATAATTACTTGATAATTTTACAATAAGATACAAGTAAGAATTTAATTAAGCTCAAGTTTAGCCTTTCAATGACAGCAATGAGCATCGTCATTTTGAATTTTGATGATTACGACGGTCTTAGAACCGGCCCCGTTGCGTGGTCGCGCGAACCACCCTGATCTCGCAACTCGTACATATAAAATTATATT